CAGTGAAGGCGTGAGCAAGGTGTGACGCCAGTACAGAGTGAGTGAGGGAGTGAGCATGGTTTGACGCCAGTACAGAGTGAGTGAGGGAGTGAGCAAGGTGTGACACCAGTACAGAGTGAGTGAGGGAGTGAACATGGTGTGACGCCAGTATAGAGTGAGTGAGGGAGTGAGCATGGTTTGACGCCAGTACAGAGTGAGTGAAGGAATGAGCAAGGTCTAAAGCCAGTATCGAGTAAGTGAGGGAGTGGGCAAGGTGTGACGCCAGTACCGAGTGAGTGAGGGAGTGAGCATAGTTTGACGCCAGTACCGATTGGGTGAGGGAGTGAGCATTATTTGACCCCAGTACAGAGTGATTGAGGGAGTGAGCAAGGTGTGACGCCAGTACAGAGTGATTTAGGGAGTGAAGATGGTTTGACGCCAGTACAGAGTGAGTGAAGGAATGAGCAAGGTATGACGCCAATAGAGAGTCAGTGAGTAAGGGAGTGAGCAAGGTGTGACGCCAGTACAGAGTGAGTGAGGGAGTGAGCATGGTTTGACGCCAGTACAGAGTGATTGAGGGATTGAGCAAGGTGTGACACCAGTACAGAGTGATTTAGGGAGTGAGCATGGTTTGACGCTAGTACAGAGTCTGTGAGAGAGTGAGCATGGTTTGACACCAGTACAGAGTGAGTGAGGGAGTAAGCAATGGTTTGATACTAGTACCGAGTGAGTGAGGGATTGAGCATGGTTTGACGCCAGTACAGAGTGAGTGAGGGAGTGAACATAGTGTGACGCCAGAACAGAGTGATTTAGGGAGTGAGCATGGTTTGACGCCAGTACAGAGTGAGTGAAGGAATGAGCAAGGTGTGACGCCAGTACAGAGTCAGTGAAGGCGTGAGCAAGGTGTGACGCCAGTACAGAGTGAGTGAGGGATTGAGCATGGTTTGACGCCAGTACAGAGTGAGTGAGGGAGTCAGCATAGTTTGACGCCAGTACCGATTGGGTGAGGGAGTGAGCATTATTTGACCCAAGTACAGAGTGATTGAGAGAGTGAGCAAGGTGTGACGCCAGTACCGAGTGAGTGAGGGAGTGAGCATGGTTTGACGCCAGTACACAGTGAGTGAGGGAGTGAGCATGGTTTGACGCCAGTACAGAGTGAGTGACGGAGTGAGCATGGTGTGACGGCAGTACCGAGTGATTGAGGGAGTGAGCATGGTTTGACGCCAGTACAGAGTGAGTGAGGGAGTGAGCATGGTTTGACGCCAGTACAGAGTGAGTGAGAGAGTGAGCATGGTTTGATGCCAGTAGAAATTGAGTGAGAGAGGGAGCATTTTTTGACACTAGTACAGAGTGAGTGAGGGAGTGAGCATGTTTTGACACTAGTACAGAGTGAGTGAGGGAGTGAGCTTGACCTGACGCCAGTACATAGTGAGTGAGGGAGTGAGCTTGACCTGACGCCTGTACAGAGTGAGTAAGGGAGTGAGCATGGTTTGACGCCAGTATAGAGTCAGTGAGGGAGTGAGCATGGTTTGACCCTAGTACAGAGTGAGTGAGGGAGTGAGCATGGTATGACGCCAGTACCGAGTGAGTGAGGGAGTGACCATGGTTTGACGCCAGTACAGAGTGAGTGAGGGAGTGAACATGGTGTGACGCCAGTACAGAGTGATTTAGGGAGTGAGCATGGTTTGACGCCAGTACAGAGTGAGTGAAGGAATGAGCAGGGTGTGACGCCAATAGAGAGTCAGTGAAGGCGTGAGCAAGGTGTGACGCCAGTACAGAGTGAGTGAGGGAGTGAGCATGGTTTGACGCCAGTACAGAGTGAGTGAGGGAGTGAGCAAGGTGTGACACCAGTACAGAGTGAGTGAGGGAGTGAACATGGTGTGACGCCAGTATAGAGTGAGTGAGGGAGTGAGCATGGTTTGACGCTAGTACAGAGTGAGTGAAGGAATGAGCAAGGTCTGACGCCAGTACCGAGTAAGTGAGGGAGTGGGCAAGGTTTGACGCCAGTACCGAGTGAGTGAGGGAGTGAGCATAGTTTGACGCCAGTACCGATTGGGTGAGGGAGTGAGCATTATTTGACCCCAGTACAGAGTGATTGAGGGAGTGAGCAAGGTGTGACGCCAGTACCGAGTGAGTGAGGGAGTGAGCATTGTTTGACGCCAGTACACAGTGAGTGAGGGAGTGAGCATGGTTTCGACGCCAGTACAGAGTGAATGAGGGAGTGAGCATGGTTTGACGCCAGTACAGAGTGAGTGAGGGAGTGAAGATGGTGTGACGCCAGTACAGAGTGAGTGAGGGAGTGAGCATGGTTTGATGCCAGTACAAAGTGAGTGAGAGAGGGAGCATGTTTTGACACTAGTACAGAGTGAGTGAGGGAGTGAGCTTGACCTGACGCCAGTACAGAGTGAGTGAGGGAGTGAGCTTGACCTGACGCCAGTACAGAGTGAGTAAGGGAGTGAGCATGGTTTGACGTCAGTACAGAGTGAGTGAGGGGGTGAGCATGGTTTGACGCTAGTACAGAGTGAGTGAGGGAGTGAGCATGTTTTGACACCAGTTCAGAGTGAGTGAGGGAGTAAGCAATGGTTTGATACTAGTACCGAGTGAGTGAGGGATTGAGCATTGTTTGACGCCAGTACAGAGTGAGTGAGGGAGTGACCATGGTTTGACGCCAGTACAGAGTGAGTGAGGGAGTGAACATGGTGTGACGCCAGTACAGAGTGATTTAGGGAGTGAAGATGGTTTGACGCCAGTACAGAGTGAGTGAAGGAATGAGCAGGGTGTGACGCCAATAGAGAGTCAGTGAAGGCGTGAGCAAGGTGTGACGCCAGTACAGAGTGAGTGAGGGAGTGAGCATGGTTTGACGCCAGTACAGAGTGAGTGAGGGAGTGAGCAAGGTGTGACACCAGTACAGAGTGAGTGAGGGAGTGAACATGGTGTGACGCCAGTATAGAGTGAGTGAGGGAGTGAGCATGGTTTGACGCCAGTACAGAGTGAGAGAAGGAATGAGCAAGGTCTGACGCCAGTACCGAGTGAGTGAGGGAGTGAGCATAGTTTGACGCCAGTACCGATTGGGTGAGGGAGTGAGCATTATTTGACCCCAGTACAGAGTGATTGAGGGAGTGAGCAAGGTGTGACGCCAGTACCGAGTGAGTGAGAGAGTGAGCATGGTTTGACGCCAGTACACAGTGAGTGAGGGAGTGAGCATGGTTTGATGCCAGTACAAAGTGAGTGAGAGAGGGAGCATGTTTTGACACTAGTACAGAGTGAGTGAGGGAGTGAGCTTGACCTGACGCCAGTACATAGTGAGTGAGGGAGTGAGCTTGACCTGACGCCAGTACAGAGTGAGTAAGGGAGTGAGCATGGTTTGACGCCAGTACAGAGTGAGTGAGGGGGTGAGCATGGTTTGACCCTAGTACAGAGTGAGTGAGGGAGTGAGCATGGTTTGACGCCAGTACCGAGTGAGTGAGTGAGTGAGCATGGTTTGACGCCAGTACAGAGTGAGTGAGGGAGTGAACATGGTGTGACGCCAGTACAGAGTGATTTAGGGAGTGAGCATGGTTTGACGCCAGTACAGAGTGAGTGAAGGAATGAGCAGGGTGTGACGCCAATAGAGAGTCAGTGAAGGCGTGAGCAAGGTGTGACGCCAGTACAGAGTGAGTGAGGGAGTGAGCATGGTTTGACGCCAGTACAGAGTGAGTGAGGGAGTGAGCATGGTTTGACGCCAGTACAGAGTGAGTGAGGGAGTGAGCATTGTTGACGCCAGTACCGAGTAAGTGAGGGAGTGGGCAAGGTGTGACGCCAGTACCGGGTGAGTGAGGGAGTGAGCATGGTTTGACGCCAGTACAGAGTGATTGAGGGAGTGAGGAAGGTGTGACGCCAGTACAGAGTGAGTGAGGGAGTGAGCATGGTTTGACGCCAGTACAGAGTCAGTGAGGGAGTGAGCATGGTTTGACACCAGTACAGAGTGAGTGAGGGAGTGAGCAATGGTTTGATACTAGTACCGAGTGAGTGAGGGAGTGAGCATGGTTTGACGCCAGTACAGAGTGAGTGAGGGAGTGAACATGGTGTGACGCCAGTAAAGAGTGATTGAGGGAGTGAGCAAGGTGTGACGCCAGTACCGAGTGAGTGAGGGAGTGAGCATGGTTTGACGCCAGTACAGAGTGATTGAGGGAGTGAGGAAGGTGTGGCGCCAGTACAGAGTCAGTGAGGGCGTGAGCATGGTTTGACGCCAGTACAGAGTGAGTGAGGGAGTGAGCATGGTTTGACGTTACAGAATGAGGTAGTGAACGTGGTTTGATGCTACAGAGTGAGTGAGGGAGTAAGCTTAGACTGACGCCAGTACAGAGTGAGTGAGGGAGTGAGTATGAGGGAGTGAGCTTTCAAGTGTATTGTAGGCCATAGGCCCATGATACAAACGGAAAATGTACAGTTGAAGTTTGCGGATCACATTTATGTATTTAACAATGATTGTCAAAGATACATGACTTTAACAATAAACAAAGAAATACTTTATACAGTTGCTCGATGGACAGATAACATGAGAATGCTGAACTTTCGCATTGTTGGAAATTCATAACATTTTCTTGGTATAAATTCTGCCCTCAGAATCTGGTAACATTTGCATATTAGAATAAAATGGTGCTCATCCTCAACATAATTGTATTTATATGCTTTGCAAACTCGTTCCACTCTAGGTTCCATTTTGTGTCTACCAGTTTCGATACGAAGATGAGAAGAGTAAGGGAGTCGCATACATGTTGAGGTGTGTCACACAAGGATATGTACAGCATGTATTGAGGTAACTGGTTATGGTCATATGTGTGTGGTTCGTGAGTTATCTGCACTAACTGATAACACTTTAAACAGTGTTACAGTATATCTCGGCGAGGCAGTTTAATGTTCAGGTACGTACCACCGAGCCCCACGAGCACGGGCAGGTGCTGACAAGCCAGGACCAGGGTCAGGGCGAATCATTTAAAATCTTAAGTTGGAGACATTACAAACGTCTTGTTAATACGCACCAATATTTCTGATGGAGAGAACCCCGAGGAATATGAGGGATGCGACATTGTTGAAGGCAGTCAGACTGAGGTTGGTGATGCCCTCAGCCACAGGATACGAGACTTCACACACCAGCTCGAAAAACAAGGGACTGTCCGCTCCATTCACAACACTCTTTACAATGTTCGCGGCATACAGCTCCTCTGGAACACATACAAACAATATTCACAACCACTTTCTTTCAGTAACCAACCACAATCTATAATAATGATAATAATAATAATAATAAAATGTCAGACAATAGATCCCACCACGGGCTTTCTGAACGACCACTGCATCGAGTTTATCTGCAGTGTGTTGAGAAGATCAGCAATCCTGCAGAGTCCTTCCCTTGAATGAAGTCGTCTGGCCTGAAAAGTGAAACAGAAGGCTTTCTGTTTGCTGCTCAGGACCATTCACTTCCAATTGTGAGTGGATGCCCAGCTTTGGCACAGACACAGTATCTTAAGCGACATGATGGGGTGGCTCGATCATTTTATTACCGTCTTCGCCATGCTTGTGATTTTGACACAGAGGTCCATCCATGGTACGACCCGGAATATGTAGAGGGCGTCATGGAAAATGATCAATACAAAATCCTTTGGAATAGGCCCGTATACAGCCTTACACGTATCCAGGCAAACAAACCTGATCTTGTCCTTTTTGATAAATCCAATGAAATCATTTATATCATTGAATTTTCAGTCCCTTTTGACACTAATGTGATTGACAAGATTGAGGAAAAACATGGCAAATATGCAGACCTCGCTTTCGAAATGTCACGCTTGCATCCTAAGTACCAAGTTGTCCGACTCCCCATCGTTCTCGGTGCCTTAGGTTTGGTACCTCCCAATATGTTGACTGACATTGGGAGAGTACCCGGGTTTGCTACCAGGAATACAGCCCTTCTGACAATCTGGGTAATGCAGAAGGCTGCAGTGTTGGGGAGTCTTCACATTCTCCGAAAAGTCCCATTTGCTGTCTGGGCAGCGTGTAGAGGGGGCAAGGGCCCTGAGCTGATGATGAGCCTAACCAGCCTGATTGTGCCAGGAGCACCCAAACCCTCTTTGCTGCATTTTGTATTTTAACTGTTCATTATAAAATAATTATAATACAGTGGCAATGCCATCTCATCCCTTACGGGTACCCATTCACTGCTGGGTGAACAGAGGCATATTTCGAACAAAGTCTCTTGCCCAAGGAGACACCACATGTGCTTCAATGTGTGGGCAGGACCGAAGCACTAGAAACTCTCTGGACCAACGATGGTCACTCATCCAAGGACTCTCTGCACCAACGATGGTCACTCATCCAATTGCAAGGGCTCTCTGAACCAACGATGGTCACTCATCCAAGGACTCTCTGGATCAACGATGGTCACTCATCCAAGGACTCTCTGGATCAACGATGGTCACTCATCCAAGGACTCTCTGGACCAACGATGGTCACTCATCCAAGGGCTCTCTGGACCAACGATGGTCACTCATCCAAGGACTCTCTGGATCAACGATGGTCACTCATCCAAGGACTCTCTGGATCAACGATGGTCACTCATCCAAGGACTCTCTGGACCAACGATGGTCACTCATCCAAGGACTCTCTGGACCAACGATGGTCACTCATCCAAGGACTCTCCGCGACCTACGCTGCTAAACTTCGCCGGGGGGCACGGGTGGCCCAGTCGTCTTAGGCGCCGCGATTCGCTGTTCAGAGTTGCGTCCCTTCGGCACGCCAGAAACTTATGATCGTGGGTTCGAATCCCGGTTCGCCCCGATTAGGGTTCTAGGTTTGTCAGCAGCATACCTGTGCTCAGGGGTTTCACCGAACTGGATCACTTCAGGCTTTCCTCCCACATTAAGCTGACACGCTGTGATATAACTAGAATACTGTTAAAAGCGGCGTTAAACCCAACTTCGCCTGATTTGATACCCGTGCGCTGTGCACAGGACCACGTGCCACCAATAAGTCCACTCTATTTTCATGTGGGGCAAATTTTAAATAATGAAATAATTTCTTAAATTTTATACGATTGGTTACCAGATTAGAACAATCTAGAAATGTGATATCTTTAGGTTTCACATGTATAATCCATTTCATAAATTACAAACACAATATTCTGTACATCATTTCTTAGGGAGTCGGGTGATAAGGAATGTCGCCTGCCTCTTGTCCTGGGGATGATGTTAAGGATGAGTAGAATCATCCAGAGGAAACTCAGCAATGCCAGAACATCAAGCAGGACGAGGATCAGACGTAGTCTGCGCTGAAATCGGTCTGCAAACCTGTTAAAGTAGTTAGCATGGTTAAAATATCACATTAAACCCTCTCTTGACAAACCTTTTCAAGTAGTTAGCATGGTAACAATATCACATTAAACCTTCTCTGGACAAACCTGTTAAAGTAGTTACCATGGTTACAATATAACATTAAACCCTCGTTCGACAAACCTGTTAAAATAGTTACCGTGGTTACAATATCACATTAAACCCTCTCTGGACAAACCTGTTAAAGTAGTTACCGTGGTTACAATATCACATTAAACCCTCTCTGGACAAACCTGTAAAAGTAGTTACCATGGTTACAATATCACATTAAACCCTCTCTGGACAAACATGTTAAAGTAGTTACCGTGGTTACAACATCACATTAAATAGTCTCTTGACAAACCTGTTGAAGTAGTTACCATGGTTGCAATAACACCTTAAACCCTCTCTTGACAAACATGTTAAAGTAGTTACCATGGTTACAATATCACATTAAACCCTCTCTGGACAAACCTGTTAAAGAAGTTACTATGCTTACAATATCACATTGCACTTTCTCTCTCTCTTGACAAACCCTCGCTCTCACTCTCACTCTCTAAATTCACTTACTTACTTGTTCTCTTTTCTGATATAACAAAACACTATTCAATAGCTATAGTCGTGTCATCATGTCAATTGCTCACCTTCCAACGATGATGCCAGTAGCAGCAGCTGCCAGGAAGCCGTAGAACCCCAGCCACCCAGCGTCAGCCTGGAGCACAATTGCGCACGGTACACACATATAGCATGTGCCTACACTGACTGGTACGAGGACGTGCAGTGACTGGTACGAGGACGTGCACTGACTGATGGTGTGGTGTGAGGACGTACACTGACTGATGGTGTGGTGTGAGGACGTACACTGACTGATGTAGACTGACTGATGGTGTGGTGTGAGGACGTACACTGACTGATGGTGTGGTGTGAGGACGTACACTGACTGATGGTGTGGTGTGAGGACGTACACTGACTGATGGTGTGGTGTGAGGACGTACACTGACTGATGTAGACTGACTGATGGTGTGGTGTGAGGACGTACACTGACTGATGTAGACTGACTGATGGTGTGGTGTGAGGACGTACACTGACTGATGGTGTGGTGTGAGGAAGTACACTGACTGATGGTGTGGTATGAGGACGTACACTGACTGATGGTGTGGTGTGAGGACGTACACTGACTGATGGTGTGGTGTCAGGACGTACACTGACTGATGGTGTGGTGTGAGGACGTACACTGACTGATGGTGTGGTATGAGGACGTACACTGACTGATGGTGTGGTGTGAGGACGTACACTGACTGATGTAGACTGACTGATGGTGTGGTATGAGGACGTACACTGACTGATGGTGTGGTGTGAGGACGTACACTGACTGATGATGTGGTGTGAGGACGTACACTGACTGATGTAGACTGACTGATGGTGTGGTATGAGGACGTACACTGACTGATGGTGTGGTGTGAGGACGTACACTGACTGATGGTGTGGTGTGAGGACGTACACTGACTGATGGTGTGGTGTGAGGACGTACACTGACTGATGTAGACTGACTGATGGTGTGGTGTGACGACGTACACTGACTGATGGTGTGGTGTGAGGACGTACACTGACTGATGGTGTGGTGTGAGGACGTACACTGACTGATGGTGTGGTGTGAGGACATACACTGACTGATGGTGTGGTGTGAGGACGTACACTGATTGATGGTGTGGTGTGAGGACGTACACTGACTGATGGTGTGGTGTGAGGACGTACACTGACTGATGTAGACTGACTGATGGTGTGGTGTGAGGACGTACACTGACTGATGGTGTGGTGTGAGGACGTACACTGACTGATGGTGTGGTGTGAGGACATACACTGACTGATGGTGTGGTGTGAGGACGTACACTGATTGATGGTGTGGTGTGAGGACGTACACTGACTGATGGTGTGGTGTGAGGACGTACACTGACTGATGTAGACTGACTGATGGTGTGGTGTGAGGACGTACACTGACTGATGGTGTGGTGTGAGGACGTACACTGACTGATGGTGTGGTGTGAGGACGTACACTGACTGATGTAGACTGACTGATGGTGTGGTGTGAGGACGTACACTGAATGATGGTGTGGTGTGAGGACGTGCACTGACTGATGTACACTGACTGATGGTGCGGTGTGAGGACGTACACTGACTGTAACGGTAGTCAGTCAGATATGGTAATAAGATATTTTAATAGCGCTTTATTGTTTCTTCTCATTAGTGGTGAGTATTGTTTTTAGCTCCCTTGGGGTATGGAGCGAGTACCATGCTTTCCGGTGAGAAAGGCCTATGTTTATCCGCTTTCCGTCAAGATGTTTTACGGATTTCAGGGAATTGGACAACTGTGAGTTCTCTATATTAGAAATTCTGTAAAATAAACATCATGAATACTCAGTTTCTCCGTTCAGAGTTTTCGAAAACATTATACTGACTGATGCAGACTGACTGATGGTGTGGTGTGAGGACGTACACTGACTCATGGTGTGGTGTGAGGACGTACACTGACTGATGTAGACTGACTGATGGTGTGGTGTGAGGACGTACACTGAATGATGGTGTCGTGTGAGGACGTGCACTGACTGATGTACACTGAATGATGGTGCGGGGTGATGACGTACACTGACTGATGTAGACTGACTGATGGTGTGGTGTGACGACGTACACTGACTGATGGTGTGGTGTGAGAACGTACACTGACTGATGGTGTGCTGTGAGGACGTACACTGACTGATGGTGTGGTGTGAGGACGTACACTGACTGATGGTGTGGTGTGAGGACGTACACTGACTGATGTAGACAGACTGATGGTGTGGTGTGAGGACGTACACTGACTGCTGTAGACTGACTGATGGTGTGGTGTTAAGACGTACACTGACTGATGTAGACTGACCGATGGTGTGGTGTGAGGACGTGCACTGACTGATGTAGACTGATTGATGGTGTGGTGTGAGGACGTACACTGACTGCTGTAGACTGACTGATGGTGTGGTGTCAGGAGGTACACTGACTGATGGTGTCGTATGAGGACGTACACTGACTGATGGTGTCCTGTGAAGGCGTGCACTGACTGATGGTGTGGTGTGAGGACGTACACTAACTGATGGTGTGGTGTGAGGACGAACACTGACTGATGGTGTGGTGTGGGGACGTACACTGACTGACGGTGTGGTGTGAGGACGTACACTAACTGATGGTGTGGTGTGAGGACGTACAATGACTGATGGTGTGCTGTGAGGACGTGCACTGACTGATGGTGTGGTGTGAGGACGTACACTAACTGATGGTGTGGTGTGAGGACGTACACTGACTAATGGTGTGGTGTGGGGACGTACACTGACTGATGGTGTGGTGTGAGGACGTACACTAACTGATGGTGTGGTGTGAGGACGTGCACTGACTGATGTAGACTGACTGATGGTGTGGTGTGAGGACGTACACTAACTGATGGTGTGGTGTGAGGACGTACACTGACTGATGGTGTGGTGTGAGGACGTACACTGACCGATGGTGTGGTGTGAGGACGTACACTGACTGATGGTGTGGTGTGAGGACGTACACTGACTGAAGTAGACTGACTGATGGTGTGGTATGAGGACGTACACTGACTGATGGTGTGGTGTGAGGACGTACACTGACTCATGGTGTGGTGTGAGGACGTACACTGACTGATGGTGTGGTGTGAGGACGTACACTGACTCGTGGTGTGGTGTGAGGACGTATACTGACTGATGGTGTGGTGTGAGGACGTACACTGACTGATGGTGTGGTGTCAGGACGTACACTGACTCATGGTGTGGTGTGAGAACGTACACTGACTGATGTAGACAGACTGATGGTGTGGTGTGAGGACGTACACTGACTGATGGTGTGGTGTGAGGACGTGCACTGACTCATGGTGTGGTGTCAGGACGTACACTGACTCATGGTGTGGTGTGAGAACGTACACTGACTGATGTAGACAGACTGATGGTGTGGTGTGAGGACGTACACTGACTGCTGTAGACTAACTGATGGTGTGGTGTGAAGACGTACACTGACTGATGTAGACTGACTGATGGTGTGGTGTGAGGACGTGCACTGACTGATGTAGACTGATTGATGGTGTGGTGTGAGGACGTACACTGACTGCTGAAGACTGACTGATGGTGTGGTGTCAGGAGGTACACTGACTGATGGTGTGGTGTGAGGACGTACACTGACTGATGGTGTGGTGTGAGGACGTGCACTGACTGATGGTGTGGTGTGAGGACGTACACTAACTGATGGTGTGGTGTGAGGACGTACAATGACTGATGGTGTGGTGTGGGGAAGTACACTGACTGATGGTGTGGTGTCAGGACGTACACTGACTCATGGTGTGGTGTGAGAACGTACACTGACTGATGTAGACAGACTGATGGTGTGGTGTGAGGACGTACACTGACTGCTGTAGACTAACTGATGGTGTGGTGTGAAGACGTACACTGACTGATGTAGACTGACTGATGGTGTGGTGTGAGGACGTGCACTGACTGATGTAGACTGATTCATGGTGTGGTGTGAGGACGTACACTGACTGCTGAAGACTGACTGATGGTGTGGTGTCAGGAGGTACACTGACTGATGGTGTGGTGTGAGGACGTACACTGACTGATGGTGTGGTGTGAGGACGTGCACTGACTGATGGTGTGGTGTGAGGACGTACACTAACTGATGGTGTGGTGTGAGGACGTACACTGACTGATGGTGTGGTGTGGGGAAGTACACTGACTGACGGTGTGGTGTGAGGACGTACACTAACAGATGGTGTGGTGTGAGGACGTGCACAGACTGATGGTGTGCTGTGAGGACGTGCACTGACTGATGGTGTGGTGTGAGGACGTACACTAACTGATGGTGTGGTGTGAGGACGTACAATGACTGATGGTGTGGTGTGAGAACGTGCACTGACTCATGGTGTGGTGTCAGGACGTACACTGACTCATGGTGTGGTGTGAGAACGTACACTGACTGATGGTGTGGTGTGAGGACGTACACTGACTCAGGGTGTGGTGTGAGGACGTACACTGACTGATGGTGTGGTGTGAGGACGTGCACTGACTGATGGTGTGGTGTGAGGACGTGCACTGACTGATGGTGTGGCGTGAGGACGTACACTGACTGATGGTGTGGTGTGAGGACGTACACTGACTGATGTACACTGACTGAAGGTATGGTGTGAGGACGTACAGTGACTGATGGTGTGGTGTGAGGACGAACACTGACTGATGGGATGGGTGTAATATAGAATTATCAACTCAGTTAAAAAATCTCCAACTAGAAGCTGCCAGAGTAGTTACTGGGCTCCCAAAGTATACTTCGCACACACATCTGTATTATGAAACAGGATGGGAAACGTTAATAGAACGAAGAAGGAAACGCAAGCTATGTTTGTTCTACAAAATACAAAGTAATATTGCCCCAACTTACCTTAAAGACATTGTACCAACCACTGTAGGTTCAAATATATCATATAATTTAAGAAATTCAGACAATATTGGGTTCCATATACTAGATTAAAACACTCAACGTGTTCTTTTATTCCATCAACTGTAAGGTTATGGAACACTATTCCTGCAGCAGGTAGAAATTGAACATCTACATCCTAATTCAAGACATACATACAAAAAGAGCAAGTCATTGCACCTCCATATTTTTCCTATGGTGTTA